CAGTTTAGCTAATTTTGGAATCATAAAATCTTTTTTTTAATTATTTACTAGAGAAATTTAAGGCAGTGATAAATCTCATCCATATTATCTACTGATATGTGAATTTTCTGAAACCCAACAGGAGGTAAGAGTCAGTTTTCCTTACGGCACAAAGGCAGATTCCTGGGCAGACAGGATGCCAGGAGCGTCCAGCGGCCAGCAGATTTCCGTAGCCAGGCAGCGTTTCTGGGTCTTGACAGGGTCACAGATCCGCCTCAGGTCCCATGTCTTTAAGTAGCGGTCCTCACCTGCAGTCGTCAGCAGGAATCTGTGAACAGTTTGGGAAATTAACATCAGCCTAATTTCAATTCATTACACATACGTTGTGGAGAAGGATTCAATGCATTTTTACAAGTGAAAGAAAAACCGTAAGAAAATGTGCCTTATACTCTAAAGTTTCAGATGAAATTCATCCCTTCTCTGCTCATTGATCAACTCTGCCAGCAGAGTCGGCAATAAACAAATGATGACACAGAAATCAATACCCGTTTTAATGCAAGGAGAGCGGCGAAGAGACTTTTCAGTTCATGTGTGAGAATAAAGAAAGGCAGTGGAATCAGAAAGGAGAAATCAGGCTTCCTGATTAAAAAGCAGTGGCCAAGATAAAACAACAAAACCTTTCCACGGTTTACTCCGTGTTCATCTGTTCTCTTCATTCAACTAATATTTTAGATTTGCATCCATAAAATACACAGCTGATGTGCAAAATCATACATTTATGTGTTAAAAAAAAAAAAAAAAAGCTAGTATTATATGTGTCCAGACATAAACAATGCAGCTGAGCTGTTAATGGTACCTTCCCAGAGACATTTCTGAGCATCATACTGGCCACTAGCCGCAGCATTAAAAAAAATGAAAACAAAGTTAAATGTGATGTTAATCTTAACTCAATGTGATGTTCTGTGGGATTTCTGGAAGAACAGAATGCAAAGTTTGACTCCATGCCACTAAATCCCAACAACAAAACAGGTTAAAAGAGCAATAAGTAATCCTGACACCTAGTGTTTGAAATCAGAACTACACACAGAACAGAGACGCTTTGAATACTTATGAAGGATGCTGAGATTTCTTAGGTTCTGGTCTGTTTTTCTTGCTGCCTTCCATGTTTACAGGCTGCTGCACTTCATTAAAATCAATAAAATAAAATGTGGACCTCTGTGGATCCTTGGGAGCTCTGATTTGATTGGTTAAGAACCAGGAAATAGTTCCACACAGTAATTCTAGGTTTGAAAGCATAAAA